CCTCCCTTTCCCCCCTGCTTTTCTGTCCCCTTTTCCCTCCCTCCCCTTTCCCCCTGTGAAAGCAAACAAGGAACTCTGGTTTCAAACCCTTCTCCTAAGGGCCCGGTGTCCCCTCACCCCTGTCCTGCTCCCACCAGTGTCCATCACCCCTGTCCTGCTCCCACCCATGTCCCTCACCCCTCTCCTGCTCCCACCCATGTTCCTCACCCCTGCCCTGCTCCTATCCTTGTCCCTCACCCCTCTCCTGCTCCCACCCATGTTCCTCACCCCTCTCCTGCTCCCACCTGTGTCTCTCACCCTTGTCCTGCTCCCACCCATGTTCCTCACCCCTCACCTGTCTTTCTCTCCCCCAGAACCGCATGCACGAGAGCATGAAGCTGTTTGACAGCATCTGCAACAACAAATGGTTCACAGACACCTCCATCATCCTCTTCCTCAACAAGAAAGACCTGTTTGAGGAGAAGATCAAGAAGAGTCCTCTGACCATCTGCTACCCTGAGTACACAGGTAGGCTGAGCCCTCCCCATGCTGGGACAGCCATTTTGCCAGTCCTGGATCAGTTCAAACCTCCTTTTCCCTCCCCAATTCCTTCTCTCTGCCCCTTTGGCACCATCTCTGGGCTGTTCCCTTGGAAAACCTGTGGGCACGTGTGGTTGGGACTAGCTTTGGCCATCCCTGGAGTACAAACCCCAAAGTGCTGCTGCCAAGTCAAGGTCATTCCTCATTTTCCACATCCTCCTAAGGCAAGAATTCCATTTCAATCCGATTTTAGAGGCTGTGGAGCTTCTCCATGTCCTGCTCTGGCTCTTGTCCAGCCTGAGGTGTCCATGTGTGGCCCCACACAGGTGTGAGGTGTCACCTGGACACTGCTTGAGGCATTTAGAGGTTTGAAAACTCCTCCAAATGTGTTTATTTTTGGGATTCCCAGAGAATCTGTGGCTGTTCCATCCCTGGAAGTGCTCAGTGCCAGGCTGGATGGAGCTCTTGGCTAGTGGAAGGTTTCCCTGCCCATGGCAGGGGTTGGAATGAGATGAGCTTTAAGATCCTTCTAACTCAACCCATTCCATGATCCCATGATTTATCCCTGTTCTTCTCTAGCAGGGAACACATAGATCCCAGAGTGAGTGACACACACCCAGGAGCTGGGAATAGACCTCAGATTTCCCAGAAGGAGTTACTGGTGGATTTGGCTTTGGAGCTGGATAAGGCAGATGGCTCCAAGCAGCTTAATGTGGACTTAAAAGCTCCTGTGTGCTCCTGAACTGCTGCCTAAATCCAGGGATCTTCTCTTTGCCAGGCTCCAACACGTATGAGGAAGCAGCTGCCTACATCCAGTGTCAGTTTGAGGACCTGAACCGAAGGAAAGACACGAAGGAGATCTACACCCACTTCACCTGTGCCACCGACACCAAGAACGTGCAGTTCGTCTTCGACGCCGTCACCGACGTCATCATCAAGAACAACCTGAAGGAGTGTGGGCTCTACTGACAGGTACCTCCAGCTCCAGAGGGTCCCACAGCTCCTCCACAGCCACAGCTTCTCCCAGCATTCCCCAAGGAGCTGCAAACATAGGTGTAAAGCTGAATTCTAGGATTGTTCTATGCTCGTGGAAGCACAGGATGGATTGGGTTGGAAAGGCTTTGGAGGTCATCTCATTCACCCCCTGCCATGGGCAGGGACACCTCCCACCAGCCCAGGTTGCTCCAAGCTCCATCCAACCTGACCTGGAACACTCCCAGGGATGGAGCAGCCACAGCTGCTCTGGGCAACCTGTGCCAGTGCCTCACCATCCTCCCAGGGAGGAATTCCTTCCTAATATCCCATCTAAATCTCCACTTTTCCAGTGGGAAGCCATTCCCTGTGTCCTGTCCTTCCATCCCTTGTCCCAAGCCCCTCTGTGCCTCTCTTGGAGCCCCTTGAGGCACTGGAAGGGGCTCTGAGGTCTCCCTGGAGCTTCTCCTCTCCAGGCTGGACACCCCCAGCTCTCCCAGCCTGGCTCCAGAGAGGCTCCAGGATCCTGGAATGGTTTGGGATGGAAGAGACCTTACAGACCACTCAGTCCCACCCCCTGCCATGGGCAGGGCCACCTCCCACCAGCCCAGGGTGCTCCAAGCCCTGTCCAGCCTGGCCTGGAACACTCCCAGGGATGGAGCAGCCACAGCTGCTCTGGGCAACCTGTGCCAGTGCCTCAGCACCTCACAGCGGGCAATTCCTTCCCATTATCCCATCCAGCCCTGCCCTCTGGCAGTGAGAAACCATTCCCTCTTGTCTTACTGGTTCCATCTCTCCCTTCTCCACCATAACCTCCTTCTCTCCTCCCCAGAGGTTCTACCATGGCCTGGTGACCCCCAACTCTTGCTGCCTTGTTTGGCCACCACCAGCAGGACGTGGGAGCAGGGGAGCCCTGTGGAATCCTGCCATCCTCCAGCACAATCTTCTCTCTTTGGGACCTTTGATTCCTCTGGGATGATGGAATTTAGGCAAGGTGGAGCCATGGAGTGTGAGTAGCTCCTTGGCCAACACCATCTCCTGTGTGTACAGTGGATCCCAGCTGGAATCCACACCTTGGATATGTAGCTTTTTCTCTTTTCTTTATGGTTAACAAGCCACCACTTAGCTGGTTTTAAGGTTATTTTATTTTTTTGGGATTTTTCCATCAAGGAAACAATAACTTTACTAAATTGGATTTTTCTTTCTTTGCAAACTTTGTTTTCAACATAAGAACAAGAATAAAAACCAACTAAAAAAAAAATCACTTAACTATGCACATGTGACCAGATCCTGCAGAAAATTCCTCT